TATCGGTTTATTTTTCAGGAAGTAATTTCATTAGTCATCTTCAAGTCTGAAATCTGCTGCATGTGCGGCAACTTGTGTTCCACAAATAATTATCGTGCAAAAAAACATTCAAAAGAACAAAAGTAGCAAATTTAGTGTTTAATAGAGTGAATGAAAGCGAAATGTTCCCGCCCAGGATTGAACTGGGGAATAAAGCGAAAAACTATCAAGAGCCTGTAGACGAGGCAGCTACGGAAACATACAAAGAACATTCAGCAGAACAAGAATGGCAAAATTGTGTCTTTGAAAAAGGGAAAGAAAGCGAATTGTTTCCACCCAGGTTTGAACTGGGGACCTTGCGCGTGTTAGGCGCACGTGATAACCGCTACACTACGGAAACTACATCGTTTCCAATCGCTTCAATGATGTAAAACTGATATATACATGAATAAAGCCAAAAACTATGTAAAGAGCCTATAGACGAGGCAGCTACGGAAACATGCAAAGAACAGTCAGCAGAACAAGAATCGCTAAATTGTGTCTTTAAAAGAGGGAAAGAAAGTGAAATGTTTCCTCCCAGGTTTGAACTGGGGACCTTGCGCGTGTGAAGCGCATGTGATAACCACTACACTACGAAAACTTACCCGTGGTTGAAAAATAATATTTCCCTTGTGACTTTCTATTGGCAAAATATCCAATCCTTAAAATTTTAGTAAAATAACTTTAAAATTCTTTACGTTTCAGGAATTTCTACGAGTCATAACGGTTACAGGTTTAAAAAAATGTATCGAACGAAACACAGCGCACATAGTTGTTTCTGTAGATGGTCAAATTGTTTACCTTGCGCCTCTAAAGAGCACTTGATAACCGCTACACTAGAAAAATTGTATCGCACCTTAAAAGTGTTTAAACCAAAGCATTGGTTTATCCGGTACATTTGTTATCGGTTTATTTTTCAGGAAGTAGTTTCATTAGTCATCTTCAAGTCTGAAATCTGCTGCATGTGCGGCAACTTGTGTTCCACAAATAATTATCGTGCAAAAAAACATTCAAAAGAACAAAAGTAGCAAATTTAGTGTTTAATAGAGTGAATGAAAGCGAAATGTTCCCGCCCAGGATTGAACTGGGGAATAAAGCGAAATACTATCAAGAGCCTGTAGACGAGGCAGCTACGGAAACATGCGAAGAACATTCAGCAGAACAAGAATGGCAAAATTGTGTCTTTCAAACAGGGAAAGAAAGCGAATTGTTTCCGCCCAGGTTTGAACTGGGGACCTTTCGCGTGTAAAGTGCACGTGATAACCACTACACTACGGAAACACGTAAAGAACAGTCATCAGAACAAGAATCGCAAAATTGTGTCTTTAAAACAGGGAAAAAAATCGAATTGTTTCCGCCCAGGTTTGAACTGGGGACCTTGCGCGTGTAAAGCGCAATATAGTGATAATCACCACACTACGGAAACACGCAAAGAACAGTCATCAGAACAAGAATGGCAAAATTGTGGTTTTAAAACAGGGAAAGAAAGCGAATTGTTTCCGCCCAGGTTTGAACTGGGGACCTTGCGCGTGTTAGGCGCACGTGATAACCGCTACACTAAGGAAACTACATCGTTTCCAATCGCTTCAATGATGTAAAACTGATATATACATGAATAAAGCCAAAAACTATGTAAAGAGCCTGTAGACGAGGCAGCTACGGAAACATGCGAAGAGCATTCAGCAGGACAAGAATGGCAAAATTGTGTCTTTCAAACACGGAAAGAAGGCGAATTGTTTCCGCCCAGGTTTGAACTGGGCACCTTGCGCGTGTGAAGCGCATGTGATAACCACTACACTACGGAAACATGCAAAGAACAGTCAGCAGAACAAGAATCGCTAAATTGTGTCTTTAAAAGAGGGAAAGAAAGTGAAATGTTTCCTCCCAGGTTTGAACTGGGGACCTTGCGCGTGTGAAGCGCATGTGATAACCACTACACTACGAAAACTTACCAATGGTTGAAAAATAATATTTCCCTTGTGACTTTCTATTGGCAAAATATCCAATCCTGGAAATTTTAGTAAAATAACTTTAAAATTCTTTACGTGTCAGGAATTTCTACGAGTCATAACGGTTACAGGTTTAAAAAAATGTATCGAAAGAAACACAGCGCACATAGTTGTTTCTGTAGATGGTCAAATTGTTTACCTTGCGCCTCTAAAGAGCACTTGATAACCGCTACACTAAAAAAATCGTATCGCACCTTAAAAGTGTTTAAACCAAAGCATTGGTTAATCCGGTACATTTGTTATCGGTTTATTTTTCAGGAAGTAATTTCATTAGTCATCTTCAAGTCTGAAATCTGCTGCATGTGGGGCAACTTGTGTTCCACAAATAATTATCGTGCAAAAAAACATTCAAAAGAACAAAAGTAGCAAATTTAGTGTTTAATAGAGTGAATGAAAGCGAAATGTTCCCGCCCAGGATTGAAATGGGTAATAAAGCCAAAAACTATCAAAAGCCTGTAGACGAGGCAGCTACGGAAACATGCAAAGAACATTCAGCAGAACAAGAATGGCAAAATTGTGTCTTTCAAACAGGGAAAGAAAGCGAAATGTTCCCGCCCAGGATTGAACTGGGGAATAAAGCGAAAAACTATCAAGAGCCTATAGACGAGGCAGCTACGGAAACATGCAAAGAACATTCAGCAGGACAAGAATGGCAAAGTTGTGTCTTTCAAACACGGAAAGAAGGCGAATTGTTTCCGCCTAGGTTTGAACTGGGGACCTTGCGCGTGTGAAGCGCATGTGATAACCACTACACTACGAAAACTTACCCGTTATTGAAAAATAATATTTCCCTTGTGACTTTCTATTGGCAAAATATCCAATCCTGGAAATTTTAGTAAAATAACTTTAAAATTCTTTACGTTTCAGGAATTTCTACGAGTCATAACGGTTACAGGTTTAAAAAAATGTATCGAAAGAAACACAGCGCACATAGTTGTTTCTATAGATGGTCAAATTGTTTACCTTGCGCCTCTAAAGAGCACTTGATAACCGCTACACTAGAGAAATCGTATCGCACCTTAAAAGTGTTTAAACCAAAGCATTGGTTAATCCGGTACATTTGTTATCGGTTTATTTTTCAGGAAGTAATTTCATTAGTCATCTTCAAGTCTGAAATCTGCTGCATGTGGGGCAACTTGTGTTCCACAAATAATTATCGTGCAAAAAAACATTCAAAAGAACAAAAGTAGCAAATTTAGTGTTTAATAGAGTGAATGAAAGCGAAATGTTCCCGCCAGGATTGAACTGGGGAATAAAGCGAAAAACTATCAAGAGCCTATAGACGAGGCAGCTACGGAAACATGCAAAGAACATCAGCAGGACAAGAATGGCAAAATTGGTGTCAAACACGGAAAGAAGGCGAATTGTTTCCGCCCAGGTTTGAACTGGGGACCTTGCGCGTGTGAAGCGCATGTGATAACCACTACACTACGAAAACTTACCCGTTATTGAAAAATAATATTTCCCTTGTGACTTTCTATTGGCAAAATATCCAATCCTGGAAATTTTAGTAAAATAACTTTAAAATTCTTTACGTTTCAGGAATTTCTACGAGTCATAACGGTTACAGGTTTAAAAAAATGTATCGAAAGAAACACAGCGCACATAGTTGTTTCTATAGATGGTCAAATTGTTTACCTTGCGCCTCTAAAGAGCACTTGATAACCGCTACACTAGAGAAATCGTATCGCACCTTAAAAGTATTTAAACCAAAGCATCGGTTAATCCGGTACATTTGTTATCGGTTTATTTTTCAGGAAGTAATTTCATTAGTCATCTTCAAGTCTGAAATCTGCTGCATGTGCGGCAACTTGTGTTCCACAAATAATTATCGTGCAAAAAAACATTCAAAAGAACAAAAGTAGCAAATTTAGTGTTTAATAGAGTGAATGAAAGCGAAATGTTCCCGCCCAGGATTGAACTGGGGAATAAAGCGAAAAACTATCAAGAGCCTGTAGACGAGGCAGCTACGGAAACATGCAAAGAACATTCAGCAGAACAAGAATGGCAAAATTGTGTCTTTCAAACAGGGAAAGAAAGCGAATTGTTTCCGCCCAGGTTTGAACTGTGGACCTTGCGCCTGTAAAGCGCACGTGATAACCACTACACTACGGAAACTGCATCGTCCCAAATCGCTTCAATGATGTAATATTGATATATACATGAAATAATTTCGCCAATTTTCGCATTCTTTATCTTATTTATATTACAGGAAAAAGGAAACACAGCGCACAAGTTGTTTTTTTCCGCTAAGTTCTGAATTGGGTTCTCTGGCGTGTAAGGTGCACGTGGTTACCGCTACACTACATGAATTGCGTAGCATCTTTGAAGTGTTCAAAGGAAGGAGCTGGTGTGATCAGGTATATTTATTAATTGTTTATTTAAGGAAAACTATTTTCATAAGCCATCTTCATGTTTGAAATCTGCTGTGCGATAACATTTGACCACACGCGATTATCCAGTGTTCAAAATAGGAAAAGTTTAAGCAATGTGTTTCCGCCCAGGATTGAACTGGGGACCTTGCGCGTGTTAGGCGCACGTAATAAACGCTATATACACTACGGAAACTATCTCGTCCTCAGTCGCTTCAATGATGTGAAACTGAAATATACATGAAATTAGCCAAAAATTAAGAAGAGCCTGTGGACAAGGCAGCTACGGAAACACTAACATAACTAGATATATTTATTACATTAAAATTAATTTGATTTTGATGGAATGTTTTTGGCTATTCAGACCAACCCTCCGGGGCCAGTTTGTGGATGCTCGTTCATGGGCTTCTAGCTTTTATTAAAACACATAAACGTTGCACCGACCTTTTGTAATGACCATGCTGTGTTTTGCCCAAAACATTCCTTACCACACCATTCTTTCTAGGGTAAACTTCTTCAACTCGGGCTAACTTTCATTTCCCGCGCGGTGTCTCGTAATCGACCATCAAGACCAAATCGCCAATCTTCATCTGTCGTTCTTTTAATCATCATTTTCCTTTTTTCTGCAACGTCGGGAGATACTCACGAATAAATCTCTTACAAAATTGCTGAACCAGGCTTTGGACAAACTCAAACCTTCGACTAAAGATTTCACTTCTCTCGAATGACCCGTGCGGAACGCTGTTCGATGCTCGACCGATGAGAAAATTGTTAGGGGTAAGGAGTTGCAAATCATTGGGATCGTTCGATGGGTATCTAAGGGTCTTCCGTTGATCAACGACTTTACTTCGGCAAACACTGTGTTCATTTCGTTCCAAGATAACCGTTGGCTTCCGATCACAACTCGAATGGCACGTTTCACTTGTTTTATCAAGCTTTCATAAATTCTGCCTTGACGAGGGCTCCGGGGCGTGGTAAAAATCCAGCGAAGTTGATGTAGGGTTGCGAAATCTTCGAGCTTCTGTCGCAATTTTGTAAATAGCTCTCTTAATAATCTCTCTGTTCCAACAAACAACGTACCGTTATCGGAAATTATTATCGTGCTTGGCCAACCATGATGGGAAGCGAATCGTCTCATCGCGTGGAGAAAGGCTTCGGATGACATACTCTCGACGACTTCTAAATGGATAGCCCGTACTGTAGCACAAGTGAAAATTGCACCCCAGGCTTTAACACTCTTGTTTCTTGAAACCTTAAGACTGAATGGACCGAACAGATCTACGCCAGTTACTGTAAATGGTGGGGAAAACGGTTTCACTCGATCTCGAGGAAGGTCTGCCATCAAGGTGGAGTGGGGTCACTGACGAAACTTACGACATATCAAACAGTTCTGGATGATTTTCTTTACCATACACCGTCCGCTAATAATCCAATACTCACGTCTGCTTTCAGAAAGGCTTCTTTCACAGCCAGCGTGGCAAACTTTCTCGTGGAATTCTTCCATTATAAACTTTGGTACGTGGTGGTTTCCGGGTAACAGGATGGGATGTGTTTGATCATAGGGAAGGGAAGCTCTCTTGAGGCGTCCACCAACTCGGATGATGTCGTTCTCGACGAAGGGTACAAGGTCCTTGCAATGATTTTTCAATTCGACTATCGTGCTCTGTGCACTTCAAATCCAGAATTCTTTACCTCGTTTTAATTCACCAGGTTGAAGGGGACCCAACTCTATCTTCGACTTATCTTGTACACTGACTCGAGCGTTACGACTAAAACGGATACAATAAGCCGTAATTCTGACTAACCGTTGCCAATTTGAATACTTCTTTGGATCAATACATGGCCCGGGGTTTCGGGATTGACACTGCCTACCATTTTGGGTTTCTTTCTTTCTGTGTCATTTTCTGTATCAGCTTCCATGCTCTCGTTTGGCCATTCACTTTCTGGCAACTTAAGGAATATCGGTCCTTGAAACCATCGACCATGCATGTCTTTGACTTTTATTCCTCGGCTGAGATCATCTGCCGGGTTCAAGGCAGAAGGAACATGTTGCGAGTGACTTGACTCCCACGTTGACTGTATCTCAGCTACACGAACGCCCAAGAACGCTTTCAACATTGTAGAATCGGACTGCAACCAATGCAAAACTAGGCAGTTCGTTATTTATGGAGGGATTTGGATGAAAGTCGCGAACCAAAGGTTTATGCGCTTCAAAGAGTTACGTTTAGAGACAAACCATCACCTGACATGGCAAGCTTTGTTAAGATCAGAATTACGAATGAAAACGAGTCTCGGTATTCACGAGCTGTTGTGATTCTCAAACGTGACCGATACATGGATGATCTAATCAATTTAACGAATTGGAAAAGCGAAGCTGAGAGAAGCATAAACGAAGTCGACAATGTGTTTGCCACAGGAAGTTTTGAAATAAAAGAATAGTTCGTTTCATCGCCAAGTGAAGAAGAACGAGACAATGACGTTTCAAGTCCTGAAGAAAGGAATTCAAAGCAGGACGAGATTGATCTGAATAAAGGGAGTACAGCGACAAACGAAGTTAACCTTGACGGTGAAGAGGGACTCAAAACCTTAGGAGTCAACTGGAATCCGCAGTCTGACGAGTTTAGTTTCACGGTAAAGAAGAGAAATGACGAAGAAACGTTAACAAAGCGAACAGTTCTTTCGAGAATTTCACGTCTGTTTGACCCTCTGGGTTTGGCCTCCGTGGTAACAATCAAGGCAAGAGTTGCTCTCCAAGAAATTTGGAAGGCAAAGAAGTACGACTGGGATGATCCAACGCCTGATGAAATGCTCGATTTGTGGTACAAACTTTTCAGAGAGCTAGATGAATTAAATGAGATTGCAATTCCACGTTGTTTACGTCCTCGCGAGATATGTGCATGGACCATCTGAATTGCACGTTTTCACCGACGCAAGTGCTACAGCTTATGGAGCAGTAGCTTACCTTCTCTGGCTTACTTCCAAAGGTCCTAAAGTGAGTCTAATCGCCTCGAGAGTTAGAGTTGCCCCTTTACGTCAGGCAACTATTCCACGATTAGAGCTTATGGCATCATTGGTTGCTTCGAGATTGGCAACTATCATTTAGAACGAGTTTAAGATGAAGCCAGAAGTGGTTAAGCTGTGGTCATGCATCATTGGTTGCTTCGAGATTGGGAACTATCATTTTCAACCATTTTAAGATGAAGCCAGAAGTGGTTAAGCTGTGGTCATGCAACGTGGCAGATAAGTTTGCATGCGTCTTAACTACGCGACGCTTTTAGCAACGTTTATAGACCCAAAGCTCCGTTCGGCAGCTGCAAGCAGGATTCGCTTTCTGTACTCGCCATGTGCATGGTATGTTTTCTTCTAGCACCCGACGTCTATTTTGCATATCTTGCTGGATTTGAGGTCTATAAATATAATTTCTATTGCTGCTTTGAGTGAACTTATCGCCTGCTCAACTATGTTAAGAAAGGGAGAATATGGCGGCAGCATGCGCAGATGAATATGGTGTGCTGGTGATTCGGCATTGCGATGGACTGGTGCCCCGTCATAAATAATATGAGTCTCCTCTTCATTTAGATTGTCTGCACAGCCCTGTAGGAACTAGGCAAATCTTTCGTGATTCATGCCCCCAACGGCTATGGAGTGGTGAAGCAGACCATAGATCGGCGATACAGCAGACCATAGATCGGCGATACAGCCAACGTTATCGTGATATTAGGGTCTTTCAGTCCGAAAACCTGTGGGTATGCTCTGTCTTCTCTTCTTGCCCTGCCATGACTTTTCGAGGTCCAAATATTGAACCCACATTCATCAAAAATGACTAGAAACCGCCGCGTATTTACGCCGACGTTCTACAGTGTATCAAAAAAATTTGAATCCAACTTTGACAGGCTGCTGTGTATAAAATACTAAAGTAAACGATATAATTTTTACATGGCAAGAAAGATTAGCTTATATCTATCGATTATACTATCCTTATATCGACACGAATAAAACTGGCCGAGTTATCGTCTTTTAAAAGTTCTTGCTCGAAATCAAATTTTTCCGTTGATGGGAATTCGAAGTGAGACCTCCAGAAAAAAGAAAATACAAATTTAATTAAGAGGAGATTTTTTTAAAAATCGCGTATTTTTTGTGAAAAAGGCTCAAAACTTAGCAACCAGGCCTTCGCTAGAATATGCTTCGCGGCCATTTTGAATTTACAAGTTTGGTCAAGTTTTCGTGTCGAGTGACAGCTGTTTTACTAACTTTTGGAGAATTTCAAAAGGCGAAAAGCTCCTTGAAATAAAGAAGAACATCAGGTGAGTGTTCGTTCAATTTTTTTGGTATTTTGAATGATATAATTTTCCATGGGCACATTTTTATTAGCGCGAAGGAGTGACACACACCAATGGCAATGTGTAACATATTGAAATATACTGATTTTAGTGATTTATAAGCCTTGTGATAAAATAAAAATTTCAAATGTTACGGTTTTTATTCCTAGGTCTTCAACACGTCTTGGAAAATATGAACAATAGTTTCAGATACCGGTAAACTCGCATTTGGGTTGCAGTGGGAGAGTGGATGGTTTATTATTGCATGCTCTGTGTTATAGGTTGAATATCAGTTTATCACAACAATAATAAAGACCTAAATAATCTCTTTCAAGAAACAACACAAACAAGGAGGAAGTCAAACTATTTTGATTTATTTAAAAAACAACTGTCCTCTCTATTCTAACAATCAATTCCTTGTGTGGTGGGTACAGAATATAGGACATGTACTCATGTAGGACAATTGATGGGTCAATCATGGGACAGTTCATTCCAAAATTATAAAACTATAAGTATAGGTAATATATAATTATAATGTGGCTTTATTGTTAAAATATTATAACAATAATAGTAATAAAAAGTGTTTTTCCAATCTTGAGTTGTTTCCACTGTTTTTAAAGAAAGTCTGCAATAAAAAGTAATATAGGATTTTTCATATATGTAAATAAGGATTTTTCATATTTTTTATCATGCAATGGAAAATTCCTCTATAAGAGATTTATCAGGACAAATCTGGGGTTAACAAGAAAGGATGCTGTAGACAAATTTAGGATGTAGGATCCAGAGATAGGCATTTAGGATGTAGGATCCAGAGACAAGCTGGGGCCTGTATTTGCACAAATTTGTGCAACATGTGTTTGTTTAACCAGGATAAATAAAACCATATACAATCTCCATAGAAATATAAAATGGGTTTAAAGCCAATTGTTTACACAGCTGACAGCATAGCTCTTTATTTTATATCCAAAAATCAGTTAGCAACACTGGGCTATTCAAGTAAATACAGGTTGTGTATATAGAAAATCTGTTTCATGTTGAAACATTGTAATTTTGTCACACAAACTCATATTGTACAAGCCAATTTTTGCAATATTTTCATCTTTGCCAATATTCTAGAAAGACTGAGGGTTATAAAAGATGCACTAATGTTGGCAAAAATAATGCAAAATCCAATTATTTAATTAACAAGTAAATCACTGTTGCCAAAGAAACACCTTGTGGATAGATAATTAAGGCTAAAAAATACAATTTAAACAAGTTTTTATATCTAGAGAAGTTATAACCCTGGACAAGCCTTGAGAGTTAACCAGGGATTGAAAAACATCACAGGACCACCTTAATTGAACCCAATGGAAATACAAATGAAAATAGTCAAATTCTGCGAGGACCATCCACCCCAAATTTTTTAAAACCACCTTTATTTTGTAGTGTGATACATAAACTTCAAGAATAAAACTACCTTGGAGTGTGCCAATCAATATTAAACATTATTTTTTCAATTAAGTGAAGCCTTTCATCATGTTTGTGCTCAGTCATGCAAAAAGCTGACAATTTTCAAATAAAAAGTCTCATAATTCTTTTTTTAAGTTTCTTGCTAGAATATGGCTTCCATTATGATGATATTTGATCTTAGAGCTACATAATTATCAAACATTTTATTGTTTAACCAATAGCTAGAGTATTCTAAAACCAACAAAATAAACCTTCAATTTTTGCTCAATGTAGGGAAAATGGAGTGACTAATATCTTTAGTTAGTAAAATTTCGCGAGGACCATTCGCTTAGAATTCCTTGAAACAGGCACTGTTTTTTTCCATATACATTGTAGTATAATGTAATATAGGTCCCACAGTGTGCCAATTGGTTTAAACTTAGAAATATCTACAATATGATACGATTATCGACACCCTAAACCGTCCGAAAAAATGGTATACAATAAAAATATTTGCCGATCAAAAATGAATTTTTATTCTATCAGTATTCTTTAAAACAAAAATAACTTGACGTTTATTTGCGCATACGAT